CACTATGCAGTATATTCTGGATGGGAAACCACATTTTGTATGCTGTGATGATGCTTAGGTAATGAATGTAAATTAACTAATTTTAAAAAAAGGTTCAGGAGAAAAAAATACACAAAAACTGTTTTTCTCAACATAAAAAAATTTGATGACTGCAGTATGCTATATAGCCCCAGCTAGGTGCTACTTTATAGTATGTTCATTCTATTCGCTGGGGTTTATGCCTAAAGTCAGACTTGTGTTCATGGACACGTATATATATCAGCTGTGCTTGCTACTGGAAATATTTAGATTAATTAAGTTCATTAATGAATCAATAAAATGGGGGAAAAAGGCATAGAAAGCAACGATGGATACCAGAGACACTGTGGGAGGAGGGTGGGACACGGCAGAGGGTGAGACAGGGAATCAAGAATAGCAAAATAAGCAAAATATACAGGAAACAAGAAATGGAAAATTATTTGTTGACGATAACACATATGTTGATGTGCTTGATTGAGCCAATATACAGTGTATTCTGGATGGGAAATCTCATTGTGTACACTGTAATGATGTATACTGAATGAATATAAATAAATAAATTTAAATTAAAAAAAAGAAGAAACCATAACCCTCTCCTCACATCCTCTCCTGTGCACCTTCTCTCAGACCTGCAGATGGTATTTTTCAAGGCCAAATTTTCTATTCCAACAAGCTCGCCGCTGGTTTGTCACACACGGTCTGCTGCCTGGCTGGGCTGTGGTGTTTCTCCTGGGTAGATGCTGCTGGAGAGCAAAGGGCAGGGCTGAACACAAGATGCCCACGCAGCTTCCCGGGATGTACTCCTTCTAGCCAAGTCTCTTATGGGTATGGCTGTTCATAAATACATGTATACACATGTATGTGTGTGATGTACACGTGTGTGTGTGTGTGTGTGTACGTATATATTTTTAACTAGGGCTTTATATCAGTCTTTTTTTTTTCAAGGTTTTTGCCATAAGGGTGTGGCCCTACTGCTTTAGTGACAACTGTCACACTGCTTTAGTGACAACTGTGGCAAGTAGCCACCCCCTCCTGACGCTGTGCTACCCACTGAACAGTGGCCCTAGAAGGAATGGCAGGTCATTCAAGAATGGAGCTGAACAGAACAGCCAGTGAGAGGGAAAGTAAGAAATCACCCCCCCCCCCGGAGAGGATGGCCACACCGCAATCCCTTCCCTCCATTCTCCTCCTGGGATTTTGGGCATGCACGCACATGTACCTGGCATGATGTTCAAGCCACTGGGTCTGGGACTCAAGCTGTGATCAGCCATATGGGAGTCCAAGCACTGTAACCACTATGCCACCTGCTGGCCCCAATCAGTCCAATTTTTTTTTAAGAGAGATTTTTGCCATAGAGTACATATGCTCGCCAGAGAGACAGAGAGAAACAGAGAGACAAAAAGCAAGAAATCACTCCCCAGGGGGAATAACCACCCCGCTATCCCTTCTCCAGTTCCGTCTCGAGATTTTGGGCACACACGTCCAGCATGAGTTTTTAAGACACCGGGTCCAGGACTCAAACTCCGATCGACTCCGTGGGAGTCTAGCGACATAACCATTACGCCAGCTGCTGGTCCCAATCAGTCCATTTTTAAGTGAAGTGTACCTGCTTAAGCAGCACAATTTTGCTAGAGCTTTATAAGTCAGGAAGACCAGAGTTGAATCTGTAGGCAGCTAACTAAATCTCAGATCAGAGCTCTTGTCCGTAAAATTACCGATAGGAAAAAACCAAAAAACACAAAAAAACAACGAGGTGACATGTAGGGAGCAAAAAAAATATATAACGTGGGTCTACAGTAGGGGTTCAGAACTACTGGTTATTGTTTAGGCATTTCATGTATAATGCAGGCATTGCTAGCTGTATGCAAACTCAAACAATGGTATTGTGACGGTGTGGAAAATGAGGGAATCACTTGGTTTGTGATGCTTTCCTAGCCAAAACTGAGGTGAGAAAATCTGTGGATTTAGCAATTCCAAGGAAGAAATGAGGTTCCCACTGCTTTCGTGACAACTGTGGCAAGTAGCCACCCCCTCCCGACGCTGTGCTGCCCACTGAATGGTGGCACTAGAGGAAATGGCAGGTCATTCAAGAATGGAGCTGAGCAGAACAGCGGGACAGCGGGAATTCACCCCAGGAAGCAAGCATATACGCTTTCGAACAAAGTAATTCTCAAAGAAGAAACGCAGGGCTGGGGTTGGACCCACTCACCATGTTCTGAACGACTCTGCCGCGGAGTAACTTTTGAAGGTAGATCACAGCCATTTCTATGTCTTCTTCTTCCTGAAAGAGCAAAGGGAGACCCGAGCAGCTTGAGAACATCAGCAGTCTGAGCCTCAAATGTTTTTTTCCAAGACTTATTTCAATGCAAAGAACCTGTGCCAGATGCCAAAAGGACCTAGAAAAATAAAATATGGCCTGTGTCCTCGTTGAATATATAGTATTTTAGTGTTATTTGTTGTATCATTATAGTCATTATTTTTTCATCATAAATAATACATCATTCATTAATAAATCATAAGCAAAAATTTCACTGTCATTTTCAGTTTTCTATACTCCTTTCTAGCACGTTCTTTCTTGAAGTGACAAGTGTAGTTTCAAATATCCTTTCCACAGTAGCATTTTTGTGTTTGATCATTAGTAGGCTGGAGAACACTGCTAGTCTAAGTCAGAGTAATGGAGTGTAATGGATAAGATGAACCATCTACGAAAATCACCTCGAATAATGATGTCTCTAAGGCAAAAAGATTAGAGGCTAGGAGTTTGTGAAGGCACCGTGGGATGTGACAGAAAGTGACAGTTCACCTGATGGCATTAACACGTAAGAGACAAGGTGTTAACCAAAGGCCAGCGTGAAATCTAGCCCAGGGCACACGCGGCCAGACAGTGGGGGCATCCCAGCTGTCCCCCGGGGGCTGCCATGAGAGGCAGGAACAGGGGGGGTGAGATCTCCCTCAACTCCCCAGCCTGTCACAAAGCTTCTGAGTAGTTGGGCTTCCTGTGAGGATCGCCGCCCTCTATCAGGAGATAAGGTGCTGACAAGCCAAGAGGAATGTTCCGACAATGGAGCAGACAGGTTTCTCTTTGTAAAGGAATAAATTCGCACTGTGGCTTCTCCCACGGTTTCCAGTGGATTTAGTCTGATTCAATCTGTCCTAGCCAGCTCCGGTAGCTTGCCCATATTGAGTTTAGTGAGCTATGGCCCTCATCAGGGTGACTTTTTTTTTTTAAACTATAGGGCGCATGCGCTTGCCAGAAAGACAGAGAGAGAGAAGAGCAAGAAACCACCTAGTGTGAGTTTAAGCCACTGGGTCCGGGACTTGAACCACGGTCAACTACATGGGAGTCCAGCAACATAGCCATTACGCCAAGTGCTGGTCCCCCAGGGTGAGCCACTCCTACCCCAGAGGCCGGCCTGTCTTAATGATACCTCTAGCATCTCACTCCTCTGACTCCCATAGTCATCAGCCATTGCCCTGGATAGGAAGGCAGGCTTGATAATAAATCATCTTTCAAACTTCTTTTCCTGGTTAAATATACATGTGGGTTACCTCCTACGTTGCATGGCAAGATTTTTAATTCTTTTCTGCTTTTATTCTTGAAAAGGATTATTCATTTCACTTCACTTCACTTTTGTGTAAGATCGATGTTTGATACTTGTACTTTAGCAAAAAGGATAAAGACAACATTTAAATCAGAGCTTGTGAAATAGTGTTAAAATTTCTTTTGAATCCAGACTCTCCTAAGAATAAACTGATAGCTATACTGAATTTAGCACTTCAAATTAAGAAAAAAGTTTCAAACTTACATTGGAACTCATTTCCAAGGTTGGAGTTGGAAGCCGAGGTTGAGGTATTGGGTTTCTTTGAAGGAAGCGCAGAGGTTTCTTAGCTTCGAGAACTTTATTCTTCTTGTCCAACAGTGCCTGAAATAATACCAATTAATAGGACCAGCAGATGGCATATGGTTACGTCACTGGATTCCCACATGGCTGACTGCAGTTCGAGTCCTGGATCAGGCAGCTTGAAACTCATGCCAGGCATATGTGCACATGTGCCCAAAATCCCAAGAGGAGAATGGAGAAGGGACTGTGGCATGGTCAGCCCCACTGTAGGGGAGGTGATTTCTCACTTTCTCTGTCTTTCCAGCAAGCACACATACTCTATAGCAAAAATCTCTCAATAATAACAATAATAATACCAATTAATATCATCCACACCTTTCCATTTTCCTCCTCTACCACACCTAATCCACAGATCTGAATATTAGTCAGAAATAATACTCCCCATGGCTGTGGTAGATCAGTTTGAAAAGTCCAAATAGGTGTGTCTCTCACAGATACTATGATATTTCTAAGGATACATTCGATAATCACTAAATAAAGATGCACATGTTCTTGTTTTTTTTGTTGTTGTTGTTTTAATTTGCTAGAGGGGGCATGCACTTGCCAGATAGAGAGAAAGTGAGAAAGCACCCCCTAGGATGAATAGCCAAGCCACAATCCCCTCTCCTCTACCTTTCCTCCATTCAGGACTTTGGGCACATACCACTCCCCACCCAACACACACACGTTTCACAAGGCGCCAGGTCAGAGGCTAGAACCAAGCAGTTGGCCATGTAGGATTCAGCTGCTACAACCACTACACCACTGGCTGGCTGATATAGCAATTTTAATTAAAGATTTAGGGAACTTTAATTTTGTTTTTGAGTTTTTAAAGGTTCTGTATTGAGTGTATACAAACCAAACCTTTAACTCTTACTCTTCCACGTGAGTTCATTTGAGTGTTGAGTGTATACAAACCAAACCTTTAACTCCTGTTCTTCCACGTGAGCTAATTTGCTGTTTGAAATAAATGTCTGGGCAGTAGAAAATTTTCCTCTGCAGTAAATTGTTGAAATATTTGGTATGTTTTACTGTGATGAGGGACTTGCAGAGCATTAAGTGGAAATTGCCTCAAAGTGGAGAGAGAACTTTACTTTGGTCTTGTAGGCCTATACATCTAGATTTAAACAAAACAAAACAACAAAACAAAAACAGTGTTTCCTAGTGAAATAGTGTATGTGTTTGGATCTTTGAATACTTTCATAAAAATTCTGATTACTGAAAGTTCAACCAGAGTTACAACATGTCATGGAAGGTTTTGTTTGCTGGCTCCATTTTCAATGACAGATAAATACCTTAAACTTAAAAGCATCAAAATTTTTTATCTTTTGAATTTAAAATCATACTTCAGCTGCTTTTCATCATATAATGATTTCTACACTGTATTTTCCATAAAAACATAAATAATTTAAAAAACACACTAAGCCCCAAATTAAAATTGATAAAAATATCCAAAGTATGAGTGAAATTTGGAACCACCAAAAATCACTGTGGTTGTAGCAGGGCTTCTGAGTTTCTTTCAATGAAAACTGACAGCAAGTACGCAAAGCTCCGCAGTAACCATGTGGGTGAGTCCATAGAACGAAGCAGCAATCTAAGAGTAATTACTAATTCTAAATTCAGGCATCTCTTGAGGGAAGAGCCCTGAACAATACCATATGAAACGATTTCAGAACCAACCACTCATAACAGATTATGTTGGTAAGGATGTGGGGAAACGGACACTCTCACAGATTGCTGGGACTGGCGTATCATTTATGTAAGAAAAGTTGGCACTATTTATCAAAATTCTAAATGCATGTACATTGTGATCCTGCAATTCTATGTCTGGGAATTTATCTTCTAGATATGTTCACACATGTACCAAAACGTGTGCATAGAAGTTCACTCACTCCAGCATTGCTTTTAGTAATTAAAAAAAAAAACTACAAACAATCTAAATAGCTATCAAAAAGAGACTGGTTTGATACATTTAGAGTACCTTTATACAATGATATATAATTAAAGTGTAAAAAATAACAAGAAAGCTTTCTGGTAATACTAGTATGAATAGATGTCATAGATACGTGTGTGTGTGTGGACATATTTGTTTGTTTTGCTTTGTTTTAGGTTTTTGCCATAGAGTGCATGTCCTCGCCAGGAGAGACAGAGAGAGATGGTGAGAGGGAAAGTGAGAAATCTCCTTCTGGGAGAATGGTTTTGCTGCAATCCCTCCTCCTCCATTCTCCTCCTGGAATTCTGGGCATACACACACATGCACCCAGTGTGATTTTCAAGCCACTGGGTCTGTGACTCGAATTGTGATTGGCCATGTGAGAGTCCAGCACCTTAATGACCACACCACCAGCTGGCCTTGCCCTTGCTATTTTTACTTAAAATATACTGGATATTGTGCTAGAACGTGGAAGAACCTTAAAAACACTATGCTAAGTGAACGCAGCCAGACACAATAGCCACATACAATTTATATGAAGTGTCCATAAAAAGGAGGTAGGACAGTGGCTGCCAGGGACGGGGGAGGAGGTGGCAGCTACTGGGTATAGGTCCATCTGAGGGAGGATGAAATCATCTAGAATTAGTGATGACATTGGCACAGTGTTCTTAATACGCTAAAAAGCACTGAATTGTACATTAAAAGAGTAGATTTTGTAGTAAGTGAATTACATCTCCCCTACCAAAAAAAAAAAGGTAAAGAAGAATAAATAAAGACTTTCTGAGAGAAACCAAAGTAGGAGTTCATTGCCAGCAGACCTCCGCAGTTGGCAAAAAAATAATAAAATGAGTTCCTTCGGTAGGAGGCAAATGGCATAGTCTAGAAACTTCAATCAATATAGAAAACAAAAGAGTAGCAGAGAAGAAATAAATGAAGGTAAAATAAAATTGTTCATTTTCTTATTTTTTTTAAAGAATCATTTTATTTAACTTTATTTATGTATTTACTTGTTTTTAAATTTGACCGAGAGGGACAGAGAGAGAGAGAGAGAGAGAGAGAGAAAGCGAGAAAGGAAGCTGCCAGGTCCAGGGCATGAACTGCGGTCAGCCATGTGGGAGTCCAACGCCCTTAACGACCACACCACCTGCCAGGCCATGGTTTTCTTACTTTTAATTATTCTAAAAGATAACTGTTTGATGGGGCCAGAAGGTGACATGGTGATTAAAGTGCTGGATTCCCACATGGTTGACCGCAGTTTGAGCCCCAGACCCAGTGGTTTGAAAATCATGTGTCGTGTGTGTACATGTGTGCCCAAAATTCCAAGAAGAGAAGGGACTGTGGCATGGCCGTTCCTCCTGAGTGGTGATTTCTCACTACTCCCTGTCTCTCTCTAGCGAATGCATATGTCCTATGTTAAAAACTGAAAAGAGGGACCAGCAGTTGACATAATGGCTATGTCACTGAACTCCCATGTAGTAGACCACAGTTTGAGTCCCAGACCCGGTGGCTTAAACTCATGCCAGGCGTGTGTGTGTGCATGCTCAAGATCCTGAGAGGAGAATGGAGGAGAAGGGACTGCCGCATGGCCATCCCCCCTGGGGGGGGGGTGATTTCTCATTTTCTGTCTCTGTCTCTCTGGAAAGTGAATGCACCCTATAGCAAAAACTTCTCAAAATAAATAATTAATTAAATTAAATTAAAACTAAAAAGGAAAAAGATAACTGTTGAAATAATAAAATGATTTTGGGGGACCAGCAAATGGCATTATGGTTATATTGCTGGACTCCCATGTAGTTACCATGGTTCAAGTCCTGGATCTGATGGCTTAAAACTAATGAATGGCACATGTGTGTGCATGCCCAGAATCCCAAGAGGAGAGAGGAGAAGGGATGCAGCATGGCCATATCCCCTGGGGAGAGATTTCTCGCTTTCTGTCTCCCTGTCTCTCTCCAGCAAGCACACATGCCCTATAAGCAAAAATCTCTAAAAAATAAAAACATGATTTGGGGTACATACAGCATATGGATCAGTGAAATGGAGACAGCACATCACAGGGATAGGGGAGAGAGTGGGAATAATCTGCTATAGGGCACCTGCTTGCACATGAACTGATAGAATATTATTTGAAGATGGACCTTGGTTGTTTCAGATATATAATCATGTACTAGACCACGAAGCAAGTCTCACTAAATTTTAAATAATAGGTATCACACCGACTAGACTCTCTAATCACAGTGTAATGGAGTTAGAAGTTAATCAGAAAAGGAACTAAAACTTTTATATATTTGAACATTTAAAAACACATTGTTAGAGACTAGCAGTTGGTATAATGGCTATGTCACCAGACTCCCATGTAGTCAACCGCGGTTCGAGTCCTGGACCCAGTGGCTTAAACTCACACAGGGCGCATGTGCATGTGTGCCCAAGATCCTGAGAGGAGAATGGAGAAGAAGGGATTGTGGCATGGCTATCATCACCCTTGGGGGGTGATTTCTTGCTTTCTGTTGGTCTCTCTCTGTCTTTCTGGTGAGCGCACATGCCCTATAGCAAAAACCTCTCAAAAAAAAATTGTTAAATACTCATAGGTTCAAAACTATAATGGATATTTTTAGCTATTAAAAATTCACCTGACCCCTATGGTTCCCAAGTCTTGGCCGCCTCACCCATAGCCTGTTTCTAGTCGGCTGGAGCGTCTGAGCTTGCCGCCTGCCCACACAGGTGGATTACAAGGGGCAGAAGTTAGCTAAAAAGAGGTTTGGGGAATTTGCATTAGATTTATCTACGGCTGACATTTCCTCCATGGTCCATCTATCGCTGACATCCCAAGTGGTTACATGTTCAAGACTCAGGCATAGAATACAGAAAAACAGGGGCAAGAAAACCTAAGAGGCATGTTAAAAAAGATTGATTGGGATTTTCATGATTCAGCACCTGATTTAGTTGCCTGTGAGATGAACTAAGCTACTTTCATACCTAAAACATGCACCAAAACTATCTGTGCTCTTCGGCACAGCTGTGTATAGATTTAGTTTTCTTTATATTTCACTCTTTTTTTTTCTTTTTCTGAAAAGGTTTTTGCTATAGGGCGCGTGTGTTCTCCAGAAAGACAGAAAGCGAGAAATCACCCCCGCTCCCAGGGTGGTTGGCCACTCCGCAATCCCTTCTCCTCCATTCTTCTCTTGGGATCTTGGGCACGCATGCACATGTGCCCAGAGTGAGTTTAAGTCATCGGATCCGGGATTCGAACTGCGGGCGACTGCATGGGAATCCAGTGACATAGCCATTATGCCAATTGCTTGTCCCTCTTTATATTTCACTACTAAACCAGTAGGGTTTTGATTTATAAGTATTTTAGACCTTCTCTTCATGATCGTGCTCTGAAATGGAGAATAGCACAAGCGGGCAACGTTTTTTCAGGTATATATAAGTAACGATGACTGAATACCTCTTAAATACAACTTAAAAATCCAAATGTTGTAATTCACCATGAGTCTTCAAACAGTTTCAATGTTTTCAATTAAAACTCACTGTGCAAAAATAAGTCATCAGTTAGGGAAGCTAGATCTCACATGGCCTATCACATGGTTCGAGTCCCAGGCCCAGCAGCTTGAAAAGCACACCAGGCTCCTGTGAGTGTGTTCCCCAGGTCCTAACAGAATGGAGACGAGCACCACCCTCACAGCCACAGATCGAAAGCAGCCAGATCCGTACGCCTACATTCCAGATGGCAAAGGGAGCGCAACCTGGCGGAGGCTGTGCGACCGGTTCATGGGATGGTTCAAACTCTCATTTAGTTGGGTTTTACACTGGATGAGAAAGGAGCTGAAAGTGACTCCTTTTTATTTTTTTTTTCCAAGATGCCCTGGTAACAAATTTAAAAGGGAGAAAATGAGGGCTATTACAATTACGAACATCAACAGTAATTTCTACCAGAAACTTGCTATACCCTAGTGTAGTATTAAATTTTATTGTATAGTTTCAAAGTTGGAAGCATTTGCAGAAAGTGACATGACTTCTGCAAGTGAGGAATAACCTCCAAGAGGTTTTCTGTCAGTTTGAAATGCCAGGAAAACAGCACTTTGGTTCGGTACAGCCTGTGAACCCTCTGGAAGGAAAAGTCTAGAGAGGAGGAAGGATGGCAGGGCTGTGTGTCAGACCCACTGGACATTCCATCAAAGATAAGGCACGGTTTTCGGGATACAGGGTTTCTCTGCAAAAGTCATACCTTCCATATCTTATTTCCCAGATAACGACTGTACCTTATGAACCTCTGCCAGCTCGTAGTCTACCCTTGCGGTCCTCTTCAGAAAACCAGATTTGGTGGTAATGACTTTTGGTTTTGGAAGTCTGATTCGAGGTTGTGTCACAAAATCTGGGAGACATGACTCAAGTTCAACTAATCCTGTGGGAAGGAAGTATATATTTTTAGTTTACAATGTTTAAGTGTATATATATTTTTTTTTTTTGAGAGGCTTTTTGCCTTGGCCCTCACCAGAAAGACGGAGGAGAGGGACAGAAAGCGAGAAATAACCCCCCCAGGGGAGATGGCCACATCGCAATCCCTTCTCCTCCATTCTTCTCTTGGGATCTTGGGCACACATGCACATGCACTTGGCATAAGTTTAAGCCACCAGGTCCGGGACTGGAACCACGGTTGACTACATGGGAGTCTAACACCATAGCCATTACACCAACTGCGGGTCCCTTAAGTGTATAATTTTAAAAGTGCATTGTGGAGTCAGCCTGTGGTGTGGTGGTCAAGGCAACTGAATCCTACATGCCCGACTGCACAGTTTGAGTCACGGTCCACTAGGAAAACATGCTGGGTGGGGGACCAGCAGTTAGCATAATGGCTATGTCGAAGGACTCCCATGTAGTTGACCACGGTTTGAGTCCTGGACCCGGTGGCTTAAACTCATGCCGGGCGCGTGTGTGTGCATGCCCAAGATCTAGAGAGGAGAACGGAGAAGGGATTGCAGCATGGCCATCCCCCAAGGAAGTGATTTCTCACTTTCTGTCTCTCTGGCTCTCTTTGTCTTTCTGGCGAGCACACACACCCTACAGCAAAAATCTCTCCAAAAAAAAAAAAAAACTCATGCCAGGTACATATGCACGTGTGCTCAAAATACTGAGAGGAGAAGGAATTACAGCTTGGCCATCCCCCCCCGAGGGGTCATTTCTCACTTTCTGTCTGCCTCTCTCTCTGTCTCTTTGGTGAACTCATATTCCCTATAGCAAAAGAAATTTTAAAACTCTAAAAAAAAATGGTGTGTGTGTGCACGCACGTGAGCATGCATGCCCAAAATCCTGCAAGGAGGGAGAGGTGGAGCAGAGGAAATGATGACATGACCCCCCTGTTTCATGAGCACAAGCACACTCTGGCAAATTATAAGTACATTGTTAATTTTAGAAGATGTTTGTCAAGGGATTTCCTAGGAATTGTTGATAAGGTGTATTTCCTATGATAGACGGGAGCTATCTGCTATCCCTACAAATGGAAAGTGCATTTCTGTGTAATTGATGTTCTCAGTGACTTAGACTATCAACTGAGAAATGTATTCTAAAATGAAAGTATTGCCCTACAAAAAGTGATGAATTCCACAATAATAACCAACTGAAAAGGAATCAGCCTGTGAGAAGTGGCGCCACCATTCCAAAGTAGCTGTCCACCCACCTACCACATTCTGCCCCACAGATGGCCAGCCAGAGCTACTAGTGCAACAGCGTGACCACCAACTCACGCTCTTGGCCACGCACTGCTTCAACCTGTCAACTGACATTTTCATTTTAATGTAGCCTCTTTTCTGAACGTCATAAAAAGTATACCCCGTATGAATGTAAGCCTGGTTATCCAGCCCTTTCTCCATTACCTTTTCCACATTTCTTTGTAAAGGGTTGATTTCATTGCACATTTGTTGTTTGCTTCATAAACCTGATAGAAAAGCTTTTTCTTTATTTTTGCACAACTTAAATAGCACTAAACCCTTTTGAATGTTCAGTAGCTAACTGAATTTGTTTTCATAATTGTTCTATAGTGTGTTTATTTACTTGGGTCTTAGCTATTTTAATTGGTTTGTAAGAATGAGTATTAATAAACATATTAAATTTTGAAATGCTGTCTCTTAAAATAGTTTTGGTTTTTAGCTTTTGATCTAAGTTTCTATATTTTATGTATTAGTCCATATTTCTAAGATAACTAACTCTTTTGTAACTCTACTAATGTACATTGCTTACCTTCATAGGTGTTGAGATAGTGGTTTCTTACCACAAAGTCCTCTGAGTTATTGTCTGGGAAACGACCCAGGCGGGAGAGAGGTCCGTAGACCTGTGATGCATAATCAGAATAATCCTTGATGATATCTCTTCTCTCCAACTTTCCTTCTATATTCTGTCTCTTTCCTACAAGTTTTCTGATTGCTGAAATAAAACACAGCTCCATGACGATCCAAATGATCCAAGTACAGAATAGTAAACCAATTCTAGTTTTATTCACAGGGAAGCCACGAAGTTGAATAAACTTCATGATGACTCAGTAGGCCAGCACGTAACTATTAAAAACAGAGGTCTTCCTTCTGTGTGGCCCAGACTGTCTTCAGACAGGCAGAAGTGACAGAAGCTCAATCAGTTAATGTCCTCAATTTGTACTCCTCAAAAATCTTCTATAACTGCATCTCAAGCTCTAGACCAAGGAGAGATACTCAATAAAGTTTGTTAAATAAATGAAAGAAACTCAAAGGAACTGGAAAAATGCATGTTCAGTGTAGAGCTTGGAGTTATCCTCCCCTGTGACAATAATTAAAAGGGAAGACAAGTGGTTCATCTTGGCCAGCACTGGACTAATCCAGAGAAGTCCCTGCTTCCAGATTTCAGATGGTTTGGTGAATGGAGGGAAAGGGCTCAGTCGTGCCCAGTGGGAGTACACACCCCTAAAGAGACATGCTGATGGAAATTCATAGCAATTAGTGTGCATAAGAAAAAGATGGAAAGGTGGCAAATAGACAACCTAACATCATGCCTCAGGGAGTTGGAAAAATAACAAAAATCCCCAGAAAATGCCAGGCAAAGAGAAATCATAAGGATTTAAGCAGAAATAAATGAAATAGAAAACAAACTATACAGAAAACAAATGAAAGCAAAAGCTGATTCTTTGAGAAGATGAACGAGATCGACACACCATTAGCTAGACTGATAACGAAGAAAGAAACCAGATAAATAAGTGATGAAACAGGCAACATTACAACAGATGCAATAGAAATACAAAACATCATTAGAGGATACTAAGAGCGACTATATGCCAATAAACAAGAGAACATGGAGGAGATGGACAGATTCCTGGATGCAAGGAATGAATCAGGAGGACATAGAAAACCTGAATAGATCCATAACATGCCATGAGATTGAATCAGCAATAAATAACCTCCCAACAAAGAAAATCCCAGGTCTGGATGATAGAAAGTGGTCAAATATGGAGGATCTATTGCTGAGTGAAGCAAACCAGGATATGAAAGAAAGATATTGTATATATCCACTTAATATATACTGATTACCCGTACTTTATGGTAGAGATTGAAATATTGGAGGGCATAAAAGCAATGAAAATAGTTATGGATGCTGACGACTGTGGACCAAGGCAGGGGGAGAGGGAAGAGTACGGAGAAGAATAGTAAGAGAACAAATAGGGAGGCATGACATTAGTGGGACACAGAAATGGTTTATTACCTGTTGATGATAACATGTATAATATTCTCAACTGGACTGGTCTAAGAAGTATTTCATGTTGGGTAAATTCTTTATACAAGTCAAATGATAATAGTGATTGAATGTTTAAAAAATAATGAGAATAAATAATAGTAACAATCTGAAAAAAATTATAAAAAGATATTTGATGATATGGATAGTAATGTCTTTGTCTTGACTGATATGCATGGTAATCATGCTGGAAAAAGAAATGTAATACACTGTAAAGATACATATGATTCAATGTAATATAAAAAGATTATGATAATAAATAAAATGAAATAAATTAAGGGAAAAAAGTTAAAAAAAAAAAAAAGACATGCTGTCTGCCTCCTCCTGCTCCTTTTCTTTCCAATTCCAGACCCACTTGCTTCTAACAGGTCTATATCACATACCCTGAGTAAGCATAAAATCATATCCCAAGATTTCTAAGTCAGGATTGATCCTAGAGCACAGTGGTTAAGCTATGAACATAGGAAGACGGGTCCCACATGGCCAACCACAGTTCAAATCCGAGCCCCAGTGTCTTGAGAAGCATGTTTAGCACATGTGTGGTTAAGCCCCAAATCCTGACGGGATGGTCAAATGGAGTAAAAAGACTGTGGTGTGACCATGACCCAAAGGGCAAAGAATGCCCCAAATTGAAGAATGTATGTGCCACTACTGCCTTGTGGAGGCCATGCAAGGTTCTCAGTGCTTTTTCATGTGACCTAAGGTTCTAGAATTAAATAAAAAATAGTTTATATTTTATTATTATTTACAAAAGTTAGACAATCTATGGCTATATCAAGTGCTGGAAAGAAATGCCAATATCTGAATGAATACTTGCAGCTAGATACGTTAAAAGTTATTTTCTCACACAAAAAAACAGGTTAAAGGGCTGGGTCCATTAATGCAACAGTTAAGCCTTGTGCATAGGGAGCCAGATCCCACATGTCTGAGCAGGGTTTGAGTTCTGGCCCTGACGGCTTAGAAAAGACACTGGGTGCAGGCACACATGCCCTGGATCCTACGGGCTGGGAAATTGGAGGCAAAAGGGTTGTAGCATGACCAAGCTCCACTGAGAATGCTTTCTCTCTCTCTCTCTCTCTCTCGTACACACATATACATGCAGTCTCCAACACTAAAAAAAAGTGACTATACCCATGTTAAATATGTATATACATTGGTAATATTCATTTGGAATATTAAATATGTATATATTAACTATGTATAAATATCGAGTGTGTATATAAATTAGTAATTTTAATGTGTATATAATACATACTTAATGTTAAGTGTTTATATAAGTTGGTAATTTACATATATAATTGATCCATTATAATTTTTCTAACTAAATTACATTAAAAGTTTCTCAGCAAATGAAGCTATGAAATTAAGCTTAATGTTAATCATTTTAAATGTGACTTGGCAGAGCAGAGTTGAATACTACTAGGCACTGGGCACACCCAGAGAGAAGATGCCCCAATGACACAGCAGAGGAGCAGAGATAGGAGGAAGAGAGTCAGTCATTCTTTCAGGTTCGAATCCCAGCCCCTGAGACTTGAAAAATATGCCAGGAACATGAGTGTGCCTGCTCGTAATCCAGACAGGATGAAGAAATGGAGAAGAAGGGATTGGGGCATGACCAATCCCCACTGGGGTTCTTTCCCCCTTCAGGCCCCCTGGGACTTGGGAGTTGTGCTTCTCCCCTTCTCCAATCAAGCATGGAAAAAGGTGGGTACTTCAAGAAAACATTAAAATACCTTGGTATACAGTCTTTTGAATTTAAAGAAGACAAAAACTGGTGCTGGAGTCCAGGGGAAAGACAATGGGCTCTAGCCCACAGGAGAGGCTTGCCACTCTGATACCAAGATGATGAAAGGAGACCATGAGGGAAAGGGCTGTCCTTCAGACAGGACGAAGGAAGATGATGTTTGTATGGGGCAGAAAAAAATCCCATAGGAGTGAGTTATATCGAGTTTCTTAGGGATTCTGGCCACTGGAACTACCTAGAAGGATCTGGTGCCCTTAACAGAACTACTCAGGGAGAATCTGCAAAGTAGTCAGGCAAACGAGACAAGGTGCATGTCAAGGGAACAACAGGAAACATTTCCCAGCAGAAGCTTTCCATGATGACAAAGGTCTGCATTCGGAATACGCCGTATTTCCCAGCAGAAGCTTTCCACTAGAACCTATATCATCATTTGGCTTCAGCATTTGGTGTTCTGGAAAAAGTTTAACAACCAGATCTCCAAGGAAAAAAAGGCCAGATCTGTAGTGTTTCTGACTTCTGCAGTATGGCGTCATTGTTCCTAATGCCCATCCATTGCTGCCTTCAAGCTACCAATGTGATGTCACTGAATGTGAAGATGAAAATAGATTCACAGTCGAATGCCATTACAGAGTATTTTCACTATGCAAGGACAATAGGCAATAGCGAAGTGAAGTTAAATAATTAACGGGTGATGAGTATTTATTACCTTTGTGTTTAATACATTTATATAATTATAAGTTCATACGAAACTTAACTTTTAATAATAGTTGGCTTTAACAACCACCTTGCAGAATTCCTAATAATTTAATAATCAGGTCTTGAGAGTCAGCACATGCAAATTCCATCATACCACTGTCCCATTGCCAGCAGACACAAATGCCACATTACAGCCAAACTGGTCAAGACCTTCTGCTCTTACCTGGCCTCCTCCATGTCCCACCATGAGGCATCAGACATCGCCCCAGGAGTGGAAGAAAGGGAACAGAGCAAGATGGGAAATCAAAGAAGTGAACCCACCTTCCCTCCTAGCCACCAGTTTCTAGGTCTGAACTAGGCCTAAGTTGGCAGAGGGGTGAAGTTTAAACTGAATGGGAGTTAAGAGTTATAACATGCTTAGGCTAAAATGGACTTTCTAATATCAAGCTATCTTGAAAAACAAGCATGCCTAACATGTCCCATCCTGGGACAGCAAAGGACAAATAGAGCAAACAAGTTTATACGGGAAAAGGTAATAATAATAATAATAATAATTAACATCATATTCTGTTTCTGCTCTATACAGTATAGCTCATTAAGAAATAAGTGGGTCAGGGGGTTGTGTGGTAGTTAAGGTGCTGGACTCCCACCTGGCTGACCATGGTTTGAGTCCTTGACCTGGGGGCTTGAAAATCATGCCAGGTGCATGTGCAAGCATGCCCAAGATGTCAGAAAGAGAATGGAGGATAAAGGATTGTGGCATGGCCAACCCCCCATGGGGTGATTTCTCACTTTCCCTCTCACTGTCTGTCTCCAGAAGTGCCTCACCCTATGGCAAAAACTTAAAAAAAGAAGAAAAGTGATATATTCCAGTATAATAAATTACCCTGAAATTTAACAGCTTAAAAATTATTTTACAATGCATGTGTTAGGAATTCAGGGTTTAGCTTGGTGGTTCTGGCTCATGAGGTGGTCTCTTCATGAGGTCGTCATCAAGATGTTGGCTAAATTATTTACAGTAACCATGATACAGAAGCTGCCTAACTACATATCAACTAACAAACAGATGAAGAGAACGTGATATATACACACGACGGAATGCCACGCAGCCATTAAAAAGAGGAAATCTGGTCATCTGAGGCTAGGGTGAATGGGGGACATTCTGTTAAATGAAATAAGCCAGCACAGGAAGTGAAAATACCATGTTTTCCTTTCCATGTGGAATGGG